GCCAGTGGATACGCGTCCCCCTGAACCGCGAGTGCCCAGCCGGGCCGCCCCCCCCTCCCACTGTGTGCGGACAGCAAGGGCTTAGCCAGGCCCAGCCCCCGCACCGATGCTGGCTCACCTGCCCCCTAGCACAGCTCCCCAAAGATCCCCAGGAGGGCGGCTGGAGCCACCCATGCCGGGCACTGTCAGGAAGGGATGAGCGCTGGCCCCCTGGGGACGTGTGAGCCAGGGAGGTTCCCTCTCCTCCGGCCCCTTCCCTAGAGCTGGGGGGTGGGGCAGAGGGCTGAGCTCCGTCTGGCTCTCCAGGTGGGGAGAAGATGACGCTGGCTATCTCCGTCCTGCTGGCCCAGTCCGTCTTCCTGTTGCTGATCTCCCAGCGCCTGCCCGCCACCTCCCTTGCCATCCCCCTCATTGGCAAGTGAGTCTCCGTGGGTCGCCCCACGTGCCCTGCTGCCCCAGCCCCTGCCTGCTGGCTGGGGAGGCGGGAGGGGAACCTTCCATGTCTCGTGCTTGGTGGGGGCGGCTGGTTCCTTCTGGGAAGGTCTTGGAGGGTTTTCCTGTCAGCGGAGACCCACACACGGGGGGGACCCCTTGCGTGGCTGGTCCATGAGGCCCTTACAGATCCCCCTTCAGGCAGGGGGCCTGGGCCCTGCAGTCCCCAGGAGCCGGTCTCTGCCCTGCAGGTACCTGCTCTTCATCATGCTGCTGGTGACCGCGGTGGTGGTGACCTGTGTGGTCGTGCTGAACATCCACTTCCGGACGCCCAGCACCCACGTCATGTCCAGCTGGGTCAAAGAGGTGAGGGGGGAGCTGGGCACGGGGGCCCCTGGCTGGGCTCTGTGCCTGGCCGGGAGGGCACACAGCCGCCCCCCTCCGCCCATCTCCACGCTCCTGCGCCTTGGGGAGCGGGAGCCAAACCACGCTCTGTGGCCGCAGCACCAGAACCTGCAGCCAGGCAGGGGGCTCGGGGCCTCTTCTCCTCCCGACACGCGGTGCTGAGCCAGCCAGCCCCGGCACTGGCCTGCCTGGCAGGCGGCACTCGCTCCCTTCTGGGGGGCTGGGCTAGTGGCTGGCAGCTGGCACTGGCGCCGGCCTGGGCGCGAGGGGTGTGGAAAAACCAAAGCTGGTGCTGCCAGGCCCCACGGCGGGCACCAGGGCAAGTGCAGAAGCCCCCAAAGCGTGGGCTGCAGCCCCAGATGAGAGTCAGGTTACGGGGATCTCATTGACTTGCACCAGGATTTTCCTGGGGCATCTTCCCCTTAGGGCCTGGCAGAGGCCACCCTGCCCTTTCCCATGCCCCTCCCGTGCCATGGCTGGCTGTGGGCACAGCCTCCTCTCCTGCTGGGCCTGGCCAGCGCCAGCCCCTTCCCTCCAGGCATCACCCCCTCTAGGGTCTGGCTCAAGAGCACCCACCAGGCTCCCAGCTCAGCGAGGGGAGAGCGGTGGCTGTGCTCCCGAAGGCCAGGCAGCGGGAGGGTGGGGAGTGTCCAGGCGGGTCTGGAGCCCCTACATGCACCTCTCCCCATCGCCAGCTGTTTCTGGAACTGCTGCCGCGCCTGCTGCACATGTCCCGGCCGGCGGAGAGCGAGCCGGGCCCCCGTGGCGGCCTGCTGATCCGGCGCAGCAGCTCCGTGGGCTACATGGCCAAGGCGGAGGAGTACTTCGCCGTCAAGTCCCGCAGCGAGCTCATGTTTGAGAAGCAGTCGGAGCGGCACGGGCTAGCCAAGCGCCGCACCCCCTCCCGTTAGGGTC